ACCCCCGGAAGCAGTGGACCAGGTGTTCCAACTATTGAGACAGCTAAGATGATGCAGCTTTACAGACCCCGAAAAAACGGACTTATACAGGTTTCTGAGTTTTGTCATGATCCCCATGGTATGAACAGCGCCCCCTTCCAGCAGGAAGCAGTTTGGAATGAACGACGTCCCAATTCCCATCTTGTTTATAAATCTTTGTTTTCATTTAAATGGGATTGTTTATAATTGGCTAGTGATCACAGCCAATCTCTTTTAATGGTAAAAAGGGGAATTATGGTATGGGTATTGTTTTTCATTTATTGACACAAATTCAAGGTCAATTTTGTGATGTTTATATTTCTCCTCTTGATTAAGTATTGTGCTTATACTGATCTTTTAAAATGTAATGCATAATTGAATACAGATTATAGATAGTTACTTATAATAGTCAGAACTTATAGTTAGGTAAGTTAGGTTTTCTAGATAGATAGAGATGTATTTCAGACAGATAAACAGTCTTCAAACCTTTCAAAGACCTTCAGAAAATGGCATTTAAAATGGTTTAGGGTTTTTCTTGACAATGAGAAATGTCTGCTCCTGGCAGCACCAATTATGTCTGAGAGGAAGATGGGCATCAAAGAGACTCATTATGGAGTTTGCTTTCAACATGGCAAGATTAGCCATTTGGGCAAGAAACTGCTCTTGCCTAGACTGTTTGACTGTTGCTGTATAAACTGGACATGCAGGACCCACAGGAAAGTGAATGCTGAACTCAGTCTTACAGGGTTCCTGCTTCATGGAAGAGTCTATGAGACTTTCTGCAGGACAAAGAAAAATGACTGACAGACTGCCAATGCAGATGGACAGTTTGAAATTTCCTGCTTTGCTGAGAAGTGTTCCAGACACATTGTGGCCTATGGGCTGAAGATGGATGCCCCAACGTTACAGAGGAACTTCAGGTGACTGCCCAGGCAGTAAGATATCTCTGTCAATCCTAGTGTTTATATATTATCCTTCTGTGGTCTTTGATGGAGTTGAAGACAGATAGTTATAGTTTTCCTTAGTTATGATAAGAGATAAACTACATATAGAACTTTGGACTCACAAGGATGAGATGGATGATATTTTCTTTAAATCTTGCTAAAAGATTGTAACTATGTTCTTATTTGATAACTGTTCTGTTATACACAATTTGACTGTGTTAAAGTTAAGACCTTCTTTTTGTTTAAACAGAAAAGAGGAGATGCTGGGGAAGTCCTGTTATTTGCCTGTTATTTGTCAATAAAGTACTGTTGAGCCTATAGGAATCTAGATAGGTGGGGCTAGGAGTCCAGGAGGATTCTGGGAAGGAGAAACACAAGAGAGTTCGAGATGTAACCGCCATTGGGGTAGGAAGCCCGGAAACCTCTCCGGTAAGAGACATACTTAGATTAACAATTATGGGGTAATTACTTAAAGCAGAGCTAGCCTGTAAGAGACAAGCAAGGCCAACAGCTTTATAATTAAAAAAAGAAAGAAAAGAAAATCACTGTGAAAAGTAATGTGCTTGAAATCTTTTGTTCTTATATCTTTTCTAAATACTATATGCTCCACAAGGGTAGAGATGATGTCTATATATTTAATCATTTAATACCTGGTGTACTGTTAATGCCAGTAATGAATTTTGAATAATTAGAAAGAGATATAGCCATAATTCAGGGTAAAGTATGGTTATGTATGTAAAACTGGAGTTAGGAGAGCTTTGGCGAGACTTATATTGTCTACTGGGAAGTACAGAAATATCTTTATGGAACAGGTTATGTTTGAACAGGGACTTGAAAAATAAGGATTAGGACACTTAGAAATTTATCCATGTAAAGATAGTAGATCGCAGCCAGAGACTGAATTGTGATGAAAGTAATCCAATTAGGTATGCATGTATCTGTAGGGGTAGAAGGTTCTAAGTCAATTTGGTTTGATACTTTCAGAAATTATAGTTGGTTTTTATTACTCTTGACTCCGTGCCTTATACCCACCTCCCAAACAATCACAGGGAGACTTATTCTTCCTTATGAATTCCCAGCCTTAGCTTGGCATGTTTCTAGCCAGTTTTTCTTAAGTGAAATTATCCCATCTACCTTTTGCCTCTGCGGTTTACCTTTCTATATACCTTTCTTTACTTCTTACTTCATGGCTTGCTGTGTAGCTGGGTGGCTTGCTGTGTAGCTGGGTGGCTTGCTGGGTAGCTGGATGTCTGGCCCCTTGAGTCCTCCTCTCCTTCTTCTTTCATCTTGCTCCTCAGTCTTCTCCTTTTCTCCTTCTCTTTATTCTCTCTGCCTGCCAGCCCTCCCTCTATCTCTTTCCTGCCTAGATATTGGCTGTTCAGCTCTCTTTTAGACCAATCAGGTGTTTTAGGCAGACAAAGTAACACAGCTTCACATGAAAGAATGCAACACATCTTTGCATCATTACACAAATATTCCACAGCATAAATGAATGCAACACACCTTAAAATAATATTCCATAACAAGAGATCACTATGTCTAGTGCACAAACAACTTACAAATAGAGAGTAGTGATTCACTCTATACATAGTGGATGCACTAACAGGTTGTCTTAGGTAGGAATTCTATTACTGTGATAAACACCATTACCAAAAGCAACTTGGAAAGGAAGGGTTTATTTCATCTTAAAATTCCAGGTAACAGTCCATCTCTGGGCAAAGTCAGGGGAAGAACTCAAGCAGGGCATGAATCTGGAGGCCAGAAATGAAGCAGAAGCAATAGTGGAGTGCTGCTCACTGGCTTGCTCACCCTATCTTGCTCAAACTTCTTTTTCATAGCACCTAAGACCTCCAGTCAGGGGTAGCACCCCCTCAGTCAGCTAGGCCCTCCCACATCAATCACCAATCAATAAAATGCCCCAGTCTTGCCCATCGGCCAATCTAGTAGGGGCATTTTCTCAACTGAAGTGCCATTTTTTCAAATAACTGCTCTATGGCAAGTTGACATAAAACTAGCCAGCACAGAGGGAAACATTCTAAGCTAGTGAGGGAATTTTAGTGATAACCTCAGAAAGACTATGGTAGGAAGGATGTCTCAAGTAAAGACATTATTATCCCAGCTAGCAGTAGGGAAGAAGAGGCAGAAGGATCACAAGTTCAAGGCCAGCCTGGTCTACACAGTGAGGCACTCTCTTAAAAACAAACACATGAACAAAGGCACAGCAGGAATGTTAAAAATCACTGATGAGAGCACTTAGATGTGGCAGAAGCAAAGTGCAAGCAAGGAGGAATAAAACAGGAGGCAGGTGTGAGTCTCATGTCATGAGGTCCACAGGGTCTGAAATTAGAGAGGAATAAAACAGGAGGCAGGTGTGAGTCTCATGTCATGAGGTCCACAGGGTCTGAAATTAGAGAGGAAATACCCTTACAAGCCTTCATCTCAACCCCTCAATCGATTTTATCTAGAATTTTCCAAATGAGTTTGTGTGCTATAGTTGTTAACCATAAAAATGTAAAATATGGTACCATTGTGAGTTATAAGCTTCATGAAAACAAGAAGTATAAACCTTTTGTTGAGTATTTTTCCTACATATCATCTGTTGCAAGAGTTATGCATTCATTCAATTGTCACTGTTTTGTGCAAAGTAATTTAAGAATTTCTGATTTAAAATTGCTTACTTAAAATATGGAAAACCAAGGTTCTGAGTTTATTGACTTTTTTGATACCACACAGCCAACTGGGACTATAGATGCTGTTAAATTTGTTTATCACTCATGCAACTCTGTGGCTTATGCTCAAAACCCTTGACTTACACAGTGTGTACGACAAATTATGGATTGTTTCTCAAATGAAAGTCACTTTTCAATCAGAATCAGAGATGAGGTACCTTGCTGCAGCTTTCATGATCCTTGTAATTACTCTTTCTGGAGTGAATTCACTATGTAAGATGAAATTATGCAAGTAGCAAACATTTATTGAACAAATACTGTGTCAGACACTAGGAAAAGATTAAAGGTAAAGATGGAACACAAGTAGCTTATAGTGTGATGGGCGAGATAGACAACTAATCCAATTATTACTAATTAGAAGTTATGACTGAGTCACCACACACACACACACACACACACACACACACACACACACCGTCAACCAACCCAGCCAGGGGAAACAGACAGGACAGCAGTGAGTATGGGCGGGGACAAAGGCTGTTTCTGAGCCACTTTCAATTTGATTGGTAAGAACACCTGGGAGAATATTAGTGGACAGCTCGATTATTGGGAGAGGGCAAGGGCCAGTTACCTAAGAGGAATGGTCTGTTGGGTCCATGCAGTTATTTATTATTGGTTGGGGTAAGAACATCAAGTGTTAGTCATTTGCATACTCAGGGGCAACAGGGGCCAGGGGAAGGAATCTTGTAAGGTCACATAGAAGTCCAGTCCAGGATATTTAGGTGGTCAGATAAGCAGCCACCACACACTGTAGCCTTAGAGACCTGTGAGCTCATCAGTTGCTATGTGCATTGGGCATGTCTGCACTTGGCAAAGCCTGTTAGGGTGGGGATGGGGAGGTAAGGAGGTAGCATGACAGGTGATTCAGTGGGTAAAGATACAGACCAGCAAAACTGACAACCTGAGTTGATCTCTAGACCCACATAGTGAATGTAAAGGACTCCAGCAAGGAAGGTGTCTTCTGGCATACATATGTATATTGTTGCCCAAGTGCATAGTTACGTGTGTATACACACACACACACACACAGAAACTACTTAAATGGCAACATATAACAGTTGAGACATCTGGTAGAAGCATATTTCTTTTACCCTCTACTTCAGTGTGCTTTTTGGACAGGCCCATCATTCCTTCAATATGCTGAAAAGTTAATAATCTATCTAGAATATTGCTTCTGAGTATCTCTTAACTTTGAGTGAGAGATAATACCACAGAGGATTTGTAAAAACTATTGGAGGGCAAATAATTTACTATTTTTTAATGGAGCTTGAAACTTTACTAAATTATTTTGATGTTCTTTCTATTTTAGAATCTGGTGAATTGGAGCCTACCTGTGCCCAGTGTAAAGATGGTTACACAGGACAGAACTGTAATAAATGTGAAAATGGCTACTACAATTCTGACAGTATCTGCACACGGTGCGAATGCCATGGCCATGTGGACCCAACTACAACTCCAAAGATTTGCAAGCCCGAGAGTGGTGAGTGCATCAATTGCCTCCATAACACCACTGGATTCTGGTGCGAGAACTGCCTAGAAGGTTATATTCGAGACCTCCAGAGAAACTGCATCAAGCAAGGTAAAACTCTCCCTAAGATTACACATTTAGTATCTAATGCCAGCATTGATGTTTCTAGAGAGCTACCGTTAGCTTTGTGAACCTTCCAGTCCCACCAGAGGAGTTTCTAAGAATAAGTTTTGGTAGGTATTTGCCTAAAGAGGTTGCTTTCCCATCCTGATTGTCTCCTGACACTACAGCATCAACTCCAGAAATATGAAGACTAAGACAAAGTCGGCGACACAACAGTGAGACTGAGTGTGCTCGTGTTTCCCTTCTTCTAGCTGTCTGTTGTAACTGAAAGGTCCTGTCATCTCTTTTCCTTTGCTTCTTGATGCATCATTTCCATGATCATCAAAGGCCTTTTCAGGGAAGGACCTGTGGTCTGCTTAGAAGTCCCATCTGGGAAACTAGAGTTCATTCTAGCCCTTCACACTTTAAGCTGACTTGTCTCTCTCTCTCTGGTATATGAAATCTTATTAATATTCCCTTTGATTTTTAAAAGGAAATGCCATTCATATGATAGAATGTTTCTTGTAGAGGGATTCAGTGAGGATTTAGAAAGGTTAAGAATTCAGGAGAAGAGGGCTGGAGAGATGGCTCAGAGGTTGAGAGCACTGACCGCTCTTCCAGAGGTCCTGAGTTCAATTCCCAGCAACCACATGGTGGCTCACAACCATCTACAATTCAATCTGGTGCCCTCTTCTGGCAGAACACTGTATGTATAATAAATAAATAAATAAATCTTTAAAAAAAAAGAATTCAGGAGAAGCTAGGGATATTTAGGGATTATTAGAATACAGACAGGTTAGACCCTGCTCTTGTATACACTCCCCCTTCTGATATTCTAATGCACACTGAGCTGAGGTACAGTTGGTCTGTGGCCTGTAACATCTTTCTGCCATATTCTTGATGTTCACATTGTAGTGATCATATTGAACCACATCACGAGCTAGAAATTCTGTCACTCTGCATTCCACCATGTGGGAGGCATACCTTGTCCAGACCAGTAAGTACCAAGAAGACAGACTGATGGTTCTTGTTAGCCAGGAATACAAACGTTGCCTGCTAATTGATGTAGTGGACTGTGGTGATGGATAATAAGTTATTTTTATAATAATTTTATTGAGTACCTATAATGTTCATTGACGTCTTCCCAAGAACTCTGTGAAGCAGACATTATTGCTCATGTTTAACTGAAAGATATAAAATTCTAAGAGATTGAATTACCTGTAGCAATACAGTCCTAACGCAGTCCAAACCTTTCATCCTTTCATTGAGCTATGCTGTTGAGTAGAAGTATAGAATGTAGTTCCGTGCTTATAAAATACTTCAAATACACACAAAGTGAGAACTCTACATGTGGAATTAAAGGAAAGCTCTTTTCTCTTTTGGCTGAATGAACCCTGAGCATTTAAATTCCTTTTTTTAGATTTTTATACTTCCTTTGAGGAGAATTTTACCTTCATGAAATGCCATCAGATTTATTGGATATATTTTAGGGCAAATAATAGTCATTTTACCATGTGATTTAGAACACATTTACTGCCTTTACAGAAATGTCTGTAATTATCAATGAATAAGGAAAAAGGGAAAACTCCTGTGCTAGAATCTTCCTCAAGTTTCAATATGGATGTTATACATATTGGAGAATAAACCTATATGTAATAAGTGCGCTTTCCAGGCCCCATATCTTATCATTACATTTATTTAAAAATTATTTTTAACTTGCATTACTGTAAGCAGACTACCATGTCAACATCCTACTTAACTTCCACTCTCATGTGTATTTCTTTTATTGTTTCTCAAAACTAGATAATTTTGTCGTTTACATTTCATTGTTTTTTTTTTTTATTTTCAGAAGTTATTGTTCCAACTCCTGAAGGTTCTACCATTTTGGTTTCCAATGCCTCTTTGACCACATCAGTGCCCACCCCTGTTATAAATAGTACATTTGCCCCCACAACCCTGCAGACTATCTTTTCAGTAAGCTCTTCTGAAAACAGCACCTCAGCTCTTGCTGACGTATCATGGACCCAGTTTAACATCATCATTTTGACAGTCATCATCATTGTGGTAGTGCTGCTAATGGGATTCGTAGGAGCTGTGTATATGTACAGAGAGTACCAAAACCGGAAACTCAATGCTCCCTTTTGGACCATCGAGCTGAAAGAAGACAATATCAGTTTCAGCAGCTACCATGACAGCATCCCCAATGCAGATGTGTCAGGATTGTTGGAGGATGATGGCAATGAAGTGGCCCCCAATGGACAGCTGACCCTGACGACACCCATTCATAATTACAAAGCTTAAGGAGATGAACTGTCCTCTTGGATTGTCAGAACGCAGTGCTCACTAAAATGCATCTGCCCCCCAGCCACACATGACCTGGGTAGAGTTTACTGAGAAAGGCATCATGCAAGTGAGCTGTTCAGGTACATACTGTAGTGCGCTTAGCCTATCTATTGCTCTTAATTCCCCATGAAGATCTGAAGCATTCATCATCATTGAGGACATGAAGTAAAGTATATTTTTGTAGCAAACCACATGTGTGTATGGAAAGACTGAATCCCACACAGTAGCCCAAGTCTACCCAGCTTCTCAAAGGACTGCTGGGAAAGTGTTCATCTCACCAGCCTCGACAGAATGTTGATGTGGAGAGGCAAGAATGATAGAAGACTTCATCTCCATTTTGGAAACATATTTTTAAGAGAGAGGCAGGGATTATGTTCATGTTCATTTTACTGTACTGAAAGCTATATATAACTGAGGACAAGCTGGTTTCTAGGATATACCACACTAAACAGTCTTGGCTCTGTGTAGACTAAGGGCAGAAAAGTCCCAAGAGGATCTGTAGAAGGGCTTGGCTTTCCTCCCACAAGTCTCCTTCAAGGATGGGATTAAAGCACAAGATAAGCCTCTGTGGTGAGAGGTCAGGTGCAGCTCCAGAGAACAGAAAGATGATGGTCCTCCTTAGGGGGACTCCTGTCTCTAAAGAAACAAGGTGTACATAGTTAATGTAGCATATCTGTTCAACGTTGTACTTGTATCTATTTGTAAAAAGATCATGTCCTATTTTATCATCTAGACTTTATTTGTATAGCAGCTAATGGTGTTGTAAAAAGAAGATAATGGAAATTGGTTAAAATACTGTAAAATAGGTGGCAATATTGCTAGAGCTGGGACTCTGGTGAGCATCATTCATTTTTAGTCCCTATTTGGACACTGTTGAAATTTATAAGAGGTCAAATGTTTCTAACCTTTCCTCTCTAAACTTAGAGTCATATGCTTTTTGACTTATCATAGATTCAAGCAATAGATTTGAAGTCTGTAATTATTAAACTGGGACACAGGCTGCATTCTTAAGACATTCACCTAATTAGCCCACTCTGTGTGTTTTACATTGCTCAGTGTAAACATCCTCAGAAAAAGACTTCTTTCCTGAATGTAAAAGACAGTCTTCCAAATGATAGAAATTTTAAATTAAAAAAAAAAAAAGAAAAGCCATTGCATTACTTGGGGCCCCTCATTTTTATGCCCATGAAATATTTATGTGCCTCCCATAACCTCCAAAATAAAAGCCTCTGGCATTTGAGCATAACCTGTCACCCACGAATCATGAGGCATGTTTGGCTTCTTCAGTGCTAGAATTTATCCATCTTCTTGTCTGGGCAGAGGGTTACTCTGATTGAGTGTGCATTTAGGCCTTGCATTTTATGCCATTTTCCTCTGAGGCCCAGTAATGCTGTTTTCATCTGTTATGCATCAACAGGTTGTGGATTAAGCAAGTCAAGAAAGGTGGCCCAGACTATGACTTGGTTAGGGAAAAGCAAAACAAAGACTAGACCTAGGAAATTCAGACTTAACTTCCTCAGAGAAGTTTGTTCATCCTCTGTAGGAGACCCCACCTTTTTCTCAGGGTTTGGAAATGACTGTAGACTAGAGGATCCGTAGATAACCTGAGGGTGCTCTGCATATGTGGCTGTCTTTATTAAAGTAAACATTGCATCTCATTGTACTGAAACAACTTCTACGTGGCTGATTGTTCACCTAGCAGGAGTCTATGGGTTTAATCCAAGAATTACAGAATAGATCAGTGTATTTTTTGTTCTTTGTCATTTACAAAACACTTTTCCATGTGTGTTCTTTGATTCTCACCATAGCATCCTAAGGAAGTAGTCTTGTACCCATTTTATACATGAAGAAACTGAGGCACAGAGAGGCTAGATCATTCAGGGCTATACAACACACACACACACACACACACACATCATTTTTATGCTTGGAATTAATTCTCACCTCTCTAGTACAGTCATTTGGCTATGAGATAACATAAAAATCTACTAGCCATGGGCCCTAGAAGGCTGGAGTGAGATTGTGTGTGTGTGTGTGTGTGTGTGTGTGTGTGTGTGTGTGTGTGTGTGATTTATGTGATTTGCAGGTACTATTCAGGTCCACATAGCTACAGATGACTTTGTGGAAAGAACACAGGAGGATTTCTATCTAAAGTCAGAATTAAGGATAAAAAGGCAAAACTGCCAATTTGAGTTCATTAAAATGAATTAATTCCTGTAATGGGGGTGGGGGTTGCTTTCCCTAGCAGTTATCAGACAGGTGTGTATCAACTGCATCACACAATTCCAAAGCATTGTGCACAGCAATTGTGTCCTTGATACTCCATCTGTTGCCAAAAATAAAGGTAAAGAGATAAAATCCAAACATGTTTACCCAATAAATAAAGAAGGAATGTTTGTAGCAGACTAAGAGCCTAATAGTCAAGATTCCAGTTAAATAGCGTTCTTGAAACAGATTTTAAAAGAAAACACAGAAATTAAACCACAAAAAAATTGTTTATCAAGTATGGATCCTAGGTCATGTTAATTTTTCACAGTTATGAAAAAGTGTAGCCTTAAATAACATTATTTAGTGACCCCATGATTCTGCTTCTACAAATAGTTTTGCTCTAAAGATCAACCATGCGGCAATTGTCTCTTGTAATTAGAGCAGAAAACCATTGTAAAATACAATGCAGGGTTTTCATTTTCTGAAGACATCACCATCCAGCACCAGGCATCCTCTAGGAAGTCTAGTGTTTGAACAGTGTTTGTCTAAGTATTAACGACATGTTCTTTTTATTTTTTTATTTTTTTATTTTTTGGTTTTACGAGACAGGGTTTCTCTGCTTTGGAGGCTGTCGGTCCAGCCTGGCCTCGAACTCACAGAGTGCTGGGATTAAAGGCGTGCGCCACCACCGCCCGGCTCAACATGTTCTTTTTAAAGTATAATACCTATGTGAACTTGACTGAGAAATAACCATCACTGCTATGAATGAATTGATGCTTCTTGCATCTTCATTAGCTCACCCCAGTAAGCCCTACGCACTTCTGATAGGTGGATGTTGTAGTCAGTGTCAAGCATGTCTTTGACCTCCCTATCACTACCACCCTTCACACTACTTTCCAGCACTTTCCTTATTTACAGTCTTTCCAATTATAGAAAAGGCAAAAGGATAGTAAAATCTCTTGTTCAATTGAACATTCTGTGGACTCAGTGCATTATTTTTCCCAGGGATGCTTGGATTTTAAGAGAGGGCAACAGGGCAGACATGGACTAGGAGGATAAGGTTTTTGTTTTGTTTTTCTTAACAAGGTTATCCAAGTCCCCAAATCATATTGCTATTCTCTAGTTCTAATATTTCCAGAACCATTAATCATCAAAGCAATACTGACTTGCTAGTTAATTAGGCTTATCTGATCATCAAGATGTTGTGTTTTGAAAGATGAGAGACAGAGCTTGATTACTGACCATTCATCCTGGTCCTATGCGTTTTAATTTGTTATGCTTGTATACATAAAGATTGATTCTAAATGACTGTCCTTGGCTTCTTATATTTTGAAGTAGTATGTGGATAGGAGTTGAGTTTCTGTAGTTCTCAAGGAAATTTCTCTGAAAAAAATATTCAGAATGTTAAAAAAAAAAACCAGTGCAATCTTTAGGGCAACAGAAGTCTCATCCATACATGTAGATACACACACACACACACACACACACACACACACACACACACACACACACACCACAAAACAAAACAAGAACAAAACCCTTTAGTCTGTTGCTGTTTTTCACAGCAAGTGGTTTAGGAGCTGAAATGGTTTGGTGTCTATGTTCAGGGTTGGGGGAGTTGATAGAAGGCTAATTCAGTGTTCTCTTTCACTCTGAGCCAAAGACTGTGCCATGGGGAGAAGCAAGAAAAATGATTATCAGTCTGAAGAAGTCAAATAATATCAAATGGCTAAAGTTATGGATCATTAAAATGTCAGTGGTTTTAATAATAATTTTTCAAAGGCATTGGGGATGTTGCTTATTACTTATGCATATGCAGAAACCGCAGCAGCCCTGGAGTGAGCCCAGAGCTTCAGATTCAAGCTAACCCAAAGTTAAGTGACTTCTAGTCAACTTTTAATGCTAGGCACAAGCACTCTGTACTCCTAAATTTCAGCCTAACCAATTAGGGAATGTTTCTAAAACATTAAACTTGTATTTATGTCACTAAAATCCTAACCCAAAATTTAAAAACATGTCTCATGTATGTACTGTATTAGGTTTCATGATGCATTTCTAAATTTGTTTATGATTTGAATATATGAAAGAATTTATACAAGAGTGTTATTTAAAACTATTAATAAATGTATATAATTTGTACCTATTGTAGATTTGTTTCACTTTTTTATGTAGAAATAGATTTTAGAAGTCTTCAGGTAAGTGCTGAAGGTCACTTCTCGGCTCACTTCATGGAAGTCTTTGAATCTTTCATGTACTGAAAGGAGTGACTACCCCTTGGGGAGAAGATACCATGTGGGACAGTTCCTTCTCTTAAAGCAAATTTATACCAGAGATGAAAATATATATTAAAATATATTATTGGGCTAGGGATAGGGCTTAGTTGTAAGACACTTGCATATTTTGCACAAGTCTCCAGGTTCCATCCCCAGCACTTCAAATAAACAAACAATACCAAACTATTTTTGTTTATGCTGTTTTCTGTCCTCTGTGCCATTCCCTGCGATTTCTATCGATTGTATTGAGATTGAGTCCCTTTGAATTTCTGACTTGCACATGGGAAGACTTTCTGACCTCTGGAAGTGAACACATTCTAGGTTTATTAGGTAACCCCTAACAAGATTGCATCTTTCTATTATTTCAAGGTTCCCTTGAAGAGGCTGTTTTGACAGTTAAGACACCGTCTGCTTATCCCATTAAACATCCATGGGGTGTTTTGAAAAGAGGCTGCAAGAAGTCTGTCATTTCTTCATACTGAGAACTTTATAACCTTGAATCAATTTATTCTACCTCAACTGTTCATGATAGCTCACACCTGTGATCCCAGCCCTCAAAGTGAAGGCAGGAAGTCAAGAGTTCAGGGTCACCCTGCCTATATAGTGAATTCTAGTTCAGGCTACGCAACATGAGACTATCTTTAAAAGAAATTATATTTTCAGTTATTAGATTGGAATTTTAAAACATAGTTTCCTGTCCTTAACTTTACTGTGTGATGCATATAAAATGGGTATTTTAGTGGAACAGAATAATTATGCCAACAAGCTAAACTAAGTTTTTAAGAGGAAAAAATGTATACAAACTCAGCACACTAGAACAAATATCATTAAAACTATAAAGTATTTTTATGCTGGTGAAAGTCTTTAAAGACATCTCCTTTGCTTATCACAACTGATTTTATTAATTTCTGCAGGAAAGTAAGACATGTTCCAAAAAATCAAATGCTCTACTGTAATTAAACTGTGAAGGCAATTGTAAATAAAACCATTGTAATTAGTTTTCTTTTATTGGTTTTTCTTATGGTGCTGGACATGAGGCCCTGGGTCTTATACACGATAGACTCTAGGCCTTGCTTAGTTAGATCTTCAGAATTAAACTAGGACTGGCAAGATGGCTCAGCTGGCAGATACCACATTGTTAAAGTCAGATTACAATCTAGTTATAGTTTCATGAGTTACAGCTTCATTAGTATGGAGTCCCCTAAAAACATCACGAAGGAGGGAGAAGTATGTCTCAGGGAGTGTATATAAAAGACCCAAGAATTTATCTTATAAAATATCCAAGAATTGGGAAATAAGATAAGTTGTTTGGAAGCATATGTATATCAAAACAATGGGATCATTAGTACAAAACTAACTTTAGAAGGCAGCATGAACTGCACAGATGGCTGTGAAGATATTGGAAATGCTCATTCTGAAGCCACATGTGAAGACATGGGGTTTCTTGCTGCTATTGGTACCCACAGGGAATTGGTTTCAGGACTCCAAGCTCATCTAAATCTGCAGATGCTCATTCCCCTAATATAAGCTGGTATCATGTTTGCATATAATCTAGACATGTAGGCTTGAAGCCATCTCTGACTTCTAATATCTACTGTAATGTAAAGATAAATAGTTGTTCATCTATATTGTTTGGTGGTAGCACCAAGGGCATGTGTCTAAGTTCTTGAAATAGCTCCAGAGTGGTAAAGGTAAAAAGAACATATATAGTAATCCTGAGAACTCCTTGTCTAGTACACCTGGGTAAATAATTGTTAGAAAGTTCTTCAAGATGGCGTAAGTTGCCAAATGAATCAAACACATGATTCCAGGGGATCCAGACTTTTAGTCTCTCCCCTAAGGTCCAGGGAGGGGAGAATGGCTGAGACTGATTTTAATTAGCTGTGGACGGTGACTTCGCCAGTTAGCCCCATGAAATGACACCTGGAAAATTCTGACTTGAGGGGTTTGGACAACATTCAAAGTGGTGACTATGTAGAGATGCAGGGGTGGAATGTACCAAGACAGCTCCTGTAATTTCCTACCCATACTTTAACCTGTTCATCCTGTCCACTTGGCATTTCTGAGTTACAGCCTCTACAATAAACAGGAGAGCACAAACAAAAGGCCCCCCTGAATTCTGCAGTCCATTCCAGCACAGTGACAAACTAGAGGAAGAAATCGTAGAAGCAAATCATCCCAGGACGCCTCAGCTTTGATAGACATCTGATATGGGACACATCTTAGTGAGACTGTATCCTCAGGCGATAGGATCTTGTACCAGGTAGACAGTGTCAGAACATCAATAAACTGTGAGCAAGCTATGAAGAGACACAATGACTGCAACAGCTCTTATAAAGGAAAGTTTTAATTGGGGGCTGGCTTACAAGTTCAGAGGTTTAGTTCATTACTATCATGGCAGGAAGCATGGCAGCACATAGGCAGACATGGTACTGAAGAGGTAGCTAAGAGTTCTACATCTCAGCAGGCAGCAAGAAGAAAGACATAGGTATGGCTTGAGTATTTGAAACTTCAAAGCCCACCCTTAGTGATCCACTTCCTTCAACAAGGTCACACCTACTTCAACAAGAATACACCTCTTAATATTTCTACTCCCTGGTGATCAAACATTCGAATCTATGAGTCTGGGGGTGGGGGAGAGATCCATTCCTATTCCAACCACCAGTGTCAGAGGTGGAATAGTGAGAGCATCAGAATTGGCTTTCCTCCTCTTTTCTTTTTCTATTGCGAGATGATATGTGCAAATTGATGGCAAGGGCTGCCCTTAGTTTTGCATTCCTATTAAAGTACAGGGCTAGTGTCCTTCATCCTCAAGAAGCTCAAAAAATACTAATAAATGAGAAATGGAATCCTGGGTAAATGTAGTGGACACTGCAGCCTGGGCCTTTGAATTAGTACTTGATTCAAAGACCAAACAGGCTGGTGCTTGGGTAAGCATCAAGTCCCCTGTAAAGAGAGATGCTTGTGAGGGACACTGGGAATAGTGTAGTCTTCCCACTAGTGGAGTGATGCCGATGCAGCCCATTCCTTAGAGAGGCCTCCTCTATGCTCTGAGCTAAGAATCCTCATACTTCCACACACCACCCTTTATGCTGAGTGGGCCCGAAGCAAACCTCTGAAGTGTGGATGCTTTGGGTGCCCTCCCCTGCTGCCTTTATTTTCAGAAGCTTGCAGAACAGACAGACTACACACACACACACACACACACACACACACACACACACACACACCTATTTCTAAATGAGCCATTGTCTTTAATCACCATGGAAAAGGTATTATACAATCTTGCTTAAAGGGGATTTTTTTCTTGCCAAGAGATGAAGTTCTCCCAGACAAGGATAAAGACATTAAGGATTGTCTATTAAGATTCTTCTTTAGTTGAGATAATAATTTGGAGGTAATTAACTAAATTGTATAGACCCCAATGGGCCGTGAAGCCCCAGAGGAACTGACTGAGATTCGGAGGACTTTAAGGGCTGAAAGGACAGATGAAAGGTAAGCAGCAGTTACTTTTTGAGTTTCCTGGCATTAAAATAATAAAGTAGGTTCAGAAACGTTTGTCATTCTAGTCACTCAGAAGGATCCCAAACTCAATGCCAGCTTGACCACATACTTTCAACACACAATGGCATATAATATACAATACCATTCCAAACAAGAGGAATTGGAACAAAATGAGACAATACTGGACCAAAGTAAGGCCAAAACCCAGCATGACAAACTCCAAATCCTGTAGCTCCACGTCTGATATCAAATGGTTTACATAGCTCTGCTTCATTGCCTGCATGACACAAGCCTCTCTTTCATGGGTTGGTTCTAATACCTGTGTGAGGTAGTTCTTGGCAGATGTCTCCTTGTTCTGGAACCTCTAACATCTTGAAGTCTCCATAGCAAGTCAGGCTTCACTTTCACAGCTTGCCACAATGGCCTCTTGGGGCCTCCATGCAGGGACTTCACAACCACACACCTGGCTTCAGAGACTCTCCATAACCACAGAGGAAGGTCACGTGACCCCTTCTGTATCCTTCCTAACTCTAAATCTAGTACCATGTTAACACACTACTAACTTGGGGGAAACCCTGGACCCTTTGAATTATATTTGCAGCAGTTTTTATTTGCTATTCTTTTTTTTTCCCACAAGTTGGAAGCTTAGGTTACTTCTTGCCCTGAGGATGCCTCCATAATGACACTAAGCTCCTTAACAATCTAGCCCATCTTCCAGCACAAGCCTTGACTGTAACAGGACGCTTTCCAGTGTCCTCTTCCTCTCCAAACTACGTTGTATTTCTTTCTGCTCCAGTTGCTCTCTTCCACCATAGACCCACATAGGTGTGATTATTAATAACCACACACAACAGCCAATATTAGGCTGTCTTGAAATCTCCTCCATCAAAGGGATGTGTCTGTTGCCTTTTTAGTTAGCCTTAGGCACATTCTTAGACCAAGGGAAGAAAGCAGCAACATTTTTTTTGCCAAAATACCACAAGAATGGTCTCTATCCTAATTATTAATATTGTTCCCTCTGAAACTTCTTTGAGCTGGGACTACACAGCCCATGCTGCCCTCAGCACTACTGTCTTCTAAGTTTTCACTAGGATCGCCTTTGAGCTCTGCTTATAGGATCCAACCATTTTTCTTGACCGATATTCCAAAGCCTTCCACATTGCTCCAAAAACAAACATGGTCAGGTTCTTCCCAACATTGTACCATTGTACCATTTTCTGGTACAAACTTCTCTACTGTTATTTACTATTGATGTAATAAAGCACCATAGCCAAGGCAACTTATATAGGAAAGAGTTCATTTGGGATTTATGGTTCCAGAGGGTTAGAGTCCATGATGGGGCAGAGGTAGGAGGTGGAGAGCAGCTAGAGTAGTAGTTCCATGTTAAACCACAAACAGGAAGTAGAGAGGACACAAGTCTGTTGAAATCTCAAAACTGACCCCTCAGTGACATACTTCCTCAAGTATGGCTACATCTCCTAATCCTCCCCAAACAGCTGCCAACTGGGAACCAAGTAGTCAAATGCCTGAGACTTATGGAGGCCACCTCATTCAAATCACCATAGTATACAGACAAAAGAGAGAAAGGAAGTATACCAGAAAACTCACATCAAAGGTCCTAGAGAGGTAGCTCAGAGGTTAAATGCTCAGTAATTAAAGTAGTTAAAATGTATTGCTCTTCC